GTAGATAGTGTCATCCATGTTACCAGTCCTAGTTCCAAGTGCCTATTGGGGGACTGTTCAATAAATTTAATTATCATTATATTCATAACTTTAAAATAAAATTGTAAATTACTGGTATTTAATTTTGTGCATTTGTACATGTACAAAAAAAAATGCAAAATTAGTTTAATATATTTGTCTCGTGCATCACACGAACGTACTAGTTTATAAAGTGAAAAGATGTATAGCCAAAATTAATGAAGTTGAAAAATATTTTATTATTTCATAATTTATTATTACCCCTCATAAATTTTATGAACAATGTGTACTATAGCGGCTTGGTAATATTCACATTTTGTCAATCTATTTGCACTAAAAAAACATAACAATTTATTTTGTCTTCTTAAACCTAAACTTAAATACTTTACAATTAATTATCTAATAGTCGTGTTTAGCTATAAACGAGCCGGGCCGAGCTCGAGCTTAGGGTGCTCAAGCTCGAGCTCGAGCCCTTAACGAGTCGAACTCGAGCCTTAACGAGCCGATCTCGAGCTTTAACTAGTCGGAATATAAAAAATTATATAAAAATTCAATTTTTGAGCCTTATTAAGCTGAGCCGAGCTCGGCTCATTAGCCAAACAAGCTCTAAATGAGTTCGAGCTCGGCTCGTTAAGGCATCGAACTCGAGACGAACTCGAGCCTTAACGAGCCGAGCCGAGCCAGACTCCTTTAATTTAACAGCACTACTCGTGTTGTCCCATCGCCAGCTTGACACCAGAGGTGGATCTAGGAAAAAAAATTGGGAGGGGCTAAAGCATTTGCTGGAACCAGATTGTGTTTGTTCAACTCTTGAATGTTTGATTTCATATCATTTATATATTTAAACGAACCAAGCTAGAATAACTATTCAACCATTCTTATTAAATAAATCGAGTAGATTGAAGATTACACAAGCCGAGTTTGAGCTCATATTTTTGTTTATTTATTCAATGGTCGAGTTGATCCGACTCATTTATTAAATTATCATAAGCTTGAAGTTGAAGTATTCAACTTGACTCGACACGAAAATATTTCGAGAGGAATCATATAATTTTTAATCTCTCTCTCTCTCACACACACACACATATAGGTTTTAAAATAGACAAAATAAGTAATAAGTTGCACTACAAAAGACATAACTTCTTAATTTTTGTAGTTTAAATACTCAACATTCTTTACACTGACAAAACTCATTGATGATTGGCTCGTTATCAACACAAATGCTATAACTGGTAGGCTGCCTACGAAAAATGCATTGGTATACTATGAAATGTCATGCTTTCATATGTATTGCACTGCAAAACATAACATATAAGTATAAAAGTATAAATATAGTGTGGTTGTCAAACTATTAAGTAGCTAACACAAGACCTACAGCGGTGTTAATAGTTATAGCAATTCTCTTTCTAACCATTGAATTGTATATTTTGCATGTTCTTCTATTCTAAGTTTATTCTTTAGTTTTTTAATTAATTTTTTTATTGTACGTGATATCACACAAAATATTATTCTAAAAAATAATGTTGAAAGAGTACGTACAAAAATATGATGTAATTAAAACTAATTAGAAAATAGAGCTATAATAAATTGTAATAATCATGAGAATGCGTCAGTAATTTCAAATTATAGTAATTTTATTCAACGACTATATTCAATTCAAATATATAATATTAGCATGGCTGGTATTCAACAAGCCTAATCATTACGCAAACATATTTATTTCATCAAATATGCATAATTTCAAATTAAAATGTCACATTCTACAAAATAAGATTACTAAAATATGAAATTCCATTGTATAAATATACATTTTTTGTTACAAATATATGATAGGTCGAATCGCCTAATGTTCAAAGTGAATGAAAATTTTGCAATATAATATTTATGGCTAAATTATTATGCAATGTTATTCACTTGTTAGTTACACGGTAGGGTTAACCAACCAAGTACTCCAATAAAGACCATATGTGATACGTTATTATTGACTAGTTATATTGTAGGGTTAACCAACTTAGTACTCCAATAAAAATGACCATACGTTATTGGTAACTAAAAATATAAACGGAACTTTGTGCATCCCCAAACCTTTCCTTCTTTAATTGTATACTAGTACAACACCCATGTATTACATGGGTGGTGACGGTGCCTCATTCATGGACGGATTCATAAAAGTGGGATGGGTATCCGGACAAGTCAAATCCAAGACCGTTCCGGTCGGCGCCCACCCTTACCATAAATAATCAACATATTATAAATAATCTGAACCTAAATATATTTGGATTAGAAGTAAACTAAATATACTCAAGCCTAATAACGAAGCATGTATTTTTGTCATATGGAATTCCGAAGCATGCGAGCCTGCCACATAGGCTCAAAACGTTCTCAAATAATATATAGGGAGGGATAATATAGACGCAACAAGGAATTTATCGATAAAAAAATGATCGAAAAATCCCAAATGGAGAGGTTGGCGGCAGTTGTTGTGGCAGCCATTTTCCTTTTGGTGACCAAAGAAGCAGTGGTCGAGTACGAGAAAGCTGCATGTTAATCGTCAAACGTCTTCCTAATGTCTCGGCCCTAAACTTCTTTTGGGAATGTGTTGGTCTTGGTCATTTTAGTAGCCCTTACATACATTGAGATCACACAAAAGTACCTTATGTAACTAAAAAACTTAAACACAATTAGGTATCTGTTTTATAACTGAAAAAACAATTAACTTTTGTCTTACGATTACCTACAAACACTTAAAATTCAAACTAAACTAACGTAGTCGATAATCATAGCATTACTTGGTTGTATTGTCTAATGAACATCCAATGAATAAAAGCATAATTATTTTTAATTAAATTTCCTAGACAGGATCATTTTTTACATGGTTGTGGACTTGTGGTGTGTATTTTTTATTTTTAGCTTTCAAAATTTGTAAGTGTTAGGGTGAAATGGTGAATGTGCAGTGTACTATTTACTCAAGTAAAAGGGCTGCAGTTATATTTTTGGAATCAGCCTTCATTAACTGTAATTTATTATTATTATTAAATTCTATTTTTTCTCATGCTGTAACGTGCGAATGGTATGCCACGTCGATTTCAAAAGATTCTTCCTCACAAAACAAACAATAATTTCATATACGGAGCATATATTGGTCAGTTTAAACTATTATCCTTAAGTTAATATGGTCAATCAATTTTGACTTCTACTTTAATTATTGAAATTAATATAAAATTATTTATTACTCAACATATTTATGTAACTAGTCAACCAACAAAAACACATACTACCTTTTATGATTTATATTAATGTTTTAATTATCAGTTGGTAATACCGGTTACTGACATGTATTGTAACTTTCTAAATTACAATTTTTTTAAATTATCGATTTATACCAGATTAATCACATAAAATATCGATTTTATGAAAAATATCAGCTGAAATATGGTAGGTATAAAGGGGGACAAAATATCATAAAAATGGAAACAAAAAGCTGCAGCCACTTTTTATAATGAGGACAGAATATCATCAAAATGGGAAACAACAAAAACGCTTCAGCTGCTGAGGGATAGAGAGAGAGAGGGGCTAAACATGGCTGCTTTTCCACTTTCCCACTTTTTTATGCTAACATGCACCCGTTTCCCTTTTATCCAAAACAGACGGGCCCACCTGTCCCTATCGCAATTAATAAAAAGATATTGTCAATATTTTCACACAAGCCTCTCATCTTTTTTTTTTTTAATTTTTTTTGTCCTGATGTTCACCATATAATTAGAACATATTAATTAAACATATTAAATGACAGAGTTTTAGAGTATTGGAGAGACCGTTGCATACAATCAACATACCCCACGTTGACCACTGCAACAGAGCCTTTCAATTCAAGTTCATATGAACCCTTTTATAATTTTTTAGTAAGTTGATTTTTGTCTGTTTTGTGCTTTTGCGTTATTCTGTATTATGTGTACTTTTTGTATATTTTTCATTTTATTTATAGAAAAAATACTATCCAAATAATTTTGTCACGCACTCCGCGACACCTATCGTGCCCACAATTAGGGTTGCAAACGAGTTGAGTCGAGTCGAGCATTTACCTCATCGAGTAGGATTTTTTTTTTGGCTGCTCGAGCTCGAATTATAAGGCTTGAGCTCGACTCGATAAAAAAGTACAAGTTCGAGCTCGACTAGAAATCAAAATGCTCGAGTTCGGCTAAAAAAATTTTAAGTTTGAATAAAATTACCATTAAGCACTATGTTACTATTTTAATATATAGGATGTGGTTCAAATGAGAACCAAGTCCTAGTGTGAGAACCGTTATTTTTAATTGTACGTAGTGCTATGATTGATCGTGTTTTAGTGCTATTTTTAACATTGATGTATTTTATTAAAAATAGCAACACAATTTGTATTATCATTTGTGATAATGATACCACCAGGTGATATAAAAATAGCATCATATACAATTAAAAATAACTTCAAATATGGTTCTCACGGTTCTCACACCAAGATTAGTTTTTATTTGAACCAACCCATATATATATATATTTATAATTACAAGATATTTTAGTAATTCAACATATATATCGAGTCACTCGACAATACAAAATATGGGATCGAGCTCAACTCAAGTTCAGTCAAACTTAAGCTTGAGTCGAGCTTTGACTTGAGCAATCGCAAGTCGCTCGATTCGTTTGCAACCCTACTCACAGTTGGCGAGCATTGCATTCATTTATCTGGACATGATTTTAGGAGAGTTAATACCATATATTAATTTGGACAGAATTTCAACCCCATGTCGAACTGTTAAATAAGAATTTGTATCAAATCATGATGAACATCTTTGTACCAAATCATGAATTAGTATTTCATTGCTTGATCCCTCACATCAACAGTTCGACATCGTATGTAGTGGGGATAAAGTAGGCAACATTTGTTTCAATATATTTGGTATATTTCACATTGGGAAAGTTTGTAAGTTAATCCTTGAGTTCAATTGTTTTTACCTGTTTGTTCAAACCTGCAGCATTTCATGACGATCCTCTTTGTCCAGCACTTGCACAATCTTGCTTTACGAAGTTCTCTAGAGGAGAAACATGTTTCATGCCAACTCACTGATGCTTCCATTTGTAAGGTATGTTCTTTGTTAATGTTTACTATATTTACTTTTATTTTTCTGTTTTGATGTTTAATATATGATTCATGCAGGTACACAATTTTGAAGCAGTATGTTCAATGTTGTGATAAAGTTGAGGATAATTTTCCTATCCTTAAATCGTAAAGTCTGATGTTAATTTGCATCTGCCTGCAGCTACTCATGTTATCTAACATCCCATCATTTGAAGATATGTATGCTTTCAATGAATTGAAAAACAAGATCAAAACTTCATTTCTGAACTTGGACCATAATATAGTCGAATAATCAATTCTGAACCCTCTATCAATCTGAGGTAATATCTTCTATCTCTGACTGCTCAGATTTCATCTGCAGGAAATCAGAGTAATTTCTGACCGTCACTCGTCTTCACTGTAATATTTCGCTTCCGACAAATCTTGCTCGTTTTCTGATAACCCTTCATCATTCACATTGGAATTAGTACTTTTATCCGCATCGTTTTCTGATAACCATTCATCATTCACTGTAATATTTTTGAGGATCGTAATGTAGTCTGTTTGCTTTCATCAGGTTACATTGTCTTGTGCTCTGGTGTAGCTACTGAAAATGGATCAGAGGGAAGTGATGATCAAATATCTGGAGGAGATATAAGTGTTTTTCCATTCCGTAGTCCTCGACATTACAATTTTCCAGAGCAGGTAAAATATTATTTAGGAAGCTCGTAAGTGAGTATGAATATCTATATCAAACAGAGAAAACCAAGGATGGTCAAAACATGCACAAATTTATTTTTCCTTGGTTTAATGTGTTTCTGTCCTCTACTAAGAATGTGTTCCTCGAAACTGAATTTAAGATGCATCATGTTAGTAACTGGATAAAGTTGCTTTATAATTCCTTAATACAGTTTTTAAGAGACTTCTCTTGATACAGAGGGTTGATGCCCTTTTTGTTTCTTATGAATGTTAGGAAAAATGAGCGTTATGAGGTGGCTCAACAAGCTTCCAATGTGGAGCATATGATGGAAGTAATCTGAAGATCACTAGATATTATGTCCACAGTGAATGAGATGATAATATAATTTTCTAGGTCCTCTTTGTCCTTAGGGAATAAAACGATCAGCAAAGGTAGGTTCTGACGATAGTACTTGGCAATCAACAGGTGAGGTAGTGTTAGCAAGTGGCATATGATGGGGAGATGATGTTTTTTTTTTAACCAAAATTCTCTTGCTGCTTCATTGTAACTAAATTATATAGCCTTTAGTGCAATATTTGCTATTGTTTAAAATAAATGAATTTCCTCAAATTACATGGGTGCAGTATTCACCTGATGTGGCGCTATATTGATACAGTAGATAATTTGTACTCTCATCATACAACTGTCATTAACTTTTTGTCCATTTGATTAGTTTGTAGTGTAATTATTATTTAATTTTTTATTTCACATGATATAACTTCTTTTTGCTTGTGGCCACTCTTTCGTGAACCTTAATTTTGATTTGTGCTTGTGGTGCTATTAGTTGAATTTTCTGAAACTTCGATTGAAATTATTGCATTCAGAATGGGAGTGTTAAGAGGGCTTTCCAAATGGCGTGCATGTTATCTTGGAATGGGATTGCATGAGAACTTGATTGATCACGCAACATGGAAAACGGGGAAGTTGCTTGTACAAATCGAAAGAATTATCAGGATTTTGTCCTCCGTGGTGCAGCAGTTATTAAATCCCTTGTTATTATAAGACAGTAAATTCCTGGTACTCCTTTGTTACATGATTAGTTGAATTGGGTTAAAAGCGCAGCTCATTAAGGGTATCACTTGAGATTTTGCTGTTGTACTTGCTATAAACAGAAGACTTAAACTGTTATTTTCGTTTGCTTGGCTTGTGTTATTGACCATGACCAATAATTCAACCAATTAAACTGAAACTTTTTACGATGTTTGATATTTAAACCAACTAAAATGGAAACTAAATTATGCCTTGAGATAAAAGACAAAAATATGCTTTAGTTAGGATTATCCGTTTCTTTCTTATGTGAGGAGAGACCGTTTTAGTAAAGGCTTTGATCCCCTACTGTGTGTGTGTGTGTATGTTTTTTCTTTTGTCTTTTTTGCTTCTGAAAGTACATGCAGAAATTTGAAGTGTTGCAACTTTGTGCTTGGCACATCTTTACCATATCCCACTGTGCTCTTCATATTCTGTTTTCAGTTTTCAATTTTTTTCAGTTGGCTACTAAAATGTGTGAAGGTCCTCATGTCTGAACCAAACAATCAACTTCTCCCCTTCAGTAGGTTTGACATTATCTATTCGTTGCTGCCTTTGCAATTTTAGTGGACTTTCTCCAGCGCAGCAGATTGTTTCCATCTTTCCAGTGAACTTGTTTCAATCTGAATCCGATCAGAGCATTGAAGTTGACTTGTAAGTCGTGATATTTGACCACTTATGATTGACATGAGCTCTGACATTGTGGGTTCTCTGGCTGTTGGTTGCATTTTATAATTAGTCTACCACCAACATCTTCGATTTTCAATCGTAACTTTGTTTCATGAATTTTGGATGTTTGTCTGATTGTGAGAATATTTTCTTATTTTGTATCACAAGGGAGACAAATCAGAGAATTGACTCTTTTCGGAGGATTTGCATATTGCGAGTATTTGAAAAGGACATTAGCTGTCAAATCTGTCAATAATATTTAAGTAAATTTAGCCAATGGTCTATATTGCGTTTTTTCTTTTTAATTTAAGTTATGGTTCAACCATTTTATGTAAAAAGGTTGTTTTCGTCTGACATCTTGGTTGATAAACATAAAACACATCATAGCTGCAATATTTTATTCATCACATTAAAGACTGGAAAGAGAGAAGAGTGGGAAGATCACGACATCTGAGGTATCTCTTGCATTCTCAATTTCTAAAGCATAGACTTGTACAAGGTTTTAAGTTGATCTACTCCTGTAATAAGCTAAAATGAAACTGCAGCGTAAGTACTATCCCTAAAAATCATGAATGTAATTTAGTTGTCAAACTATTCTGAGAATTAGAATTGCTCAAAACAATTCCTTTTCCTTTTTTATTGTACATTCTGGATATTGAAGCTCTCATTTCATGATTGTGTTGCTATTAAACCAAGAGACAACGGATCCTGAGAGCTCAAGAAATGCTTGTATGATTATTATACAAGCATCCAACGTCACATTTCGACCTATTTCAAGATCATCTATTATCAACTCTTGGAATCCTCATGACCTTACGTCTTCCTTTCAGTTTTTACTTCTTCTTTTTTTTTTTTTCTGCCTTATGGATCTGTGTGCTGTTTTAGGATTCTGTTATGCACCTGCAAACGGGGAATAAAAAAGTTCGCGAAATTTCTCACTCGGTGATGGTTGTTCCATGCTGTTAGCATATCGTGGGTTCAATAAATCTATTAATAATTGGAGTTTTAGTTGAAGGACATTCAGTTGGCATTTTAGCCTCAAGTTGTAATTTCGGCATCCAGAGGTTTTGCTGCGAAAAAGCGTGCCTTGGTGTATATCCTAGAGGAAGATGAAGATGATGATGAAGATGAAGTTACAGATTCAGAATAATATTATTTTTAATGTTGAGTAATGCCTTCAACTCCAGCTAATGCTTGTATTTTTTTAGCTACATTTTTTTTTTTTCAAGGAAAACCCATATCACTTGGTTTGAGCTGCATTTTCCAGTTGTAAGGTGTATGTATTTCTTTGTATCTTGTACTAGTTATGTTTAAGTTTTTTGCTGAGATATTTTGATTCTAAACTGTTTAAAAAAAATAAATAAATATTTTGTCAAGTTTCTTATATTGAATTAAGTTGAAATATGACAATAAACATTTTACAAATGAAAGTAACAAAAACAACATAAACTTTTATGTTGAAGGTCAAACTTAAGTTGGATTTTATGGGCATATATATATAAAAAATTCTTGCCACAAACTATTATCTACTAAATTCAGCAAAGGAGACATATACATGCCTTCTGTTTTCATCAATTTTCACTTCACCAAGTGTTAAAGACAAAAATGAACCAACGAATAATTAAATCACTGTTACACGAAATCATTCTAAGGGTGCCAAAGCTCTTCAATTTGTAACAAAATTGTTTGTTAACAATGAGAGTTCGCTTTATAGAAACATGAAAAACAACTCTAGAACAAGAAAAAGGAGAAATCTTTCCTAATTGTTCTTGTTCTTTTTCTTTCCTTTCTTCTTATCTCTTTTACTCTGTGGCTTTGCACGAGATCGCTTTTTCTGGGGCTTCTTGATCAGCTTCTTCCTAGCCACAGGAGTCTTTTGCTTATTGCCCTTCTCAAACCCTTCAAACGATTGAGCTGTCCCAATCCCCGACATATCAGCCGATCCATCTTCCTCCCGAGCTATTTCACGAGTTGTCACCGTGACTTGCACATCACCATTGTCATACATCATTGTATC